GAAAACAGGGTCAGTTCATTTCACAATCCATGCCCCCAGTGCCACTCTTGCTTGGGTTACTGCTCCCTCCATACACACAGACCAGCGGTCCCTCTCCCAGGCCAGACATCTGTCTACGGGCAGCCCTGGGAGAATGCAGGCACAGAGTTGCCACCCATAAGAACTGCTCTTGGATAGTCACCAGGCTGGCACTTTTCTTTCAGCATCTCATTTAAGCATGGGAGTTTGGTACTGCTAGTCTCATTTTACAGGCTAGAAAATAGACGCTCAGAAAGAGAAAGTAAATGGCCCTAGTTCATAGAACCAATAATTTCACCATCCTATTTATTCTCCAAGGCCTTAGGGTCCAAAACTTCTTATTAAAAAGATTTGCAAAGGGAGGAAGTTTACAGTGTCTGTACCCTTCCAGGCACTTGGACCAGCAGATTATGCAACTGAAATAATATCCACAAATAGTTGAACACAGGACTTTGACCATTAACAGATAGTGGTGTGGTTACAATAATTAGGGGAACAGTCAGCTTAGAATGCACTAGGACCCTCTTAGTCAAGCTGCATGCTGAAATAAGTCCTTATTTTCTGAGATTTCTCTGGACACAAAGGATAGATTCTTGATGATTCTCAAGCTCTGTGCATGGAGATGGGGTGGGGGAGGAGAGAGAAATGGAGAACATTCGCTGGAATGAGTGACGGCTTATCTCCCAGCTTCTGAGAATGCTTCACATTCTGTCACAATCCAGAGGCAACACTGAACATATGTTGTCTGAGTCCATCATTTTGCAATTAAGGACTCTGAGGCCCAGACACATTTGGTTCCAACAGCTCAAAGCTAACTAGGAGCTTTACGCAACATCAGCAGCAGCAGCCTGTGTCAGCATTGATTCAGTTGGGTCCTGCACGGGGACAGGGGCCTAGGCCATGTTGTCTACTGGAGGACCCTCAGTTCAGTGCCTAGTACAGTGCCTGGCACTTAGTAAACACATGATAAATATTTTTTGAATGAATGAATGCATGGATTTTCATCCCTCATCACCTGAGCTCAGGAAGATGTCTAACTGGTGGCAATAGGTCTAGAAAACCAGCCAGAGAAATTTGGGAAGGAGGCCCAGTGTTGCTGGAAGAGCTCTGTGTCCCTATGGTGCCCTCTACTCCCCATCCATTATCAAACCTGATCTTGCGCTCAGGTGCAGGTGAGTTGGGTATCGGGAAGATATACTCAGTGGCTGGATGGGGAGGTCTACAAGACAATGCCCGGGTTGACTCTGCTGCCAGCCAAGGAGCCATCATCACCATGAATCAAGCTTCCAGGGGCTAGGGTGAGGGATCACCAGCCATGGCAACCGCCACTTTCTATGACATGCAGGGCTGCATGGAAACAGCCTCAAGTGGGGTGAGCAGGCATGGGTTTATGGGTTTCCTCAGCAGTAATCTTCTCAGAGAAGCAGTCAATTTGAAAAGCAATTTTCTGAAGAGACTTTATCAGGAGAGTCAGTGAAGGGTGCTTGACTAAAATAAAAGGGAAAAATACAGCTGGCCATGATCATGTGCCCAGACGGCACAAGCAGGGAGCACAGCGAGCCCAGTCTGTCCCATGCAGTGCCAGCAGCCGTTGAGTGTCTTCCTGGAGTGAACTGTCTAGTGCAAGCTGCCCCCCTATTTCTCACCTGCACCCCAAAGAGAACTGTTTACTGGGGTCCTTTAAGACTGACTTTAAAGAAAATTTGGAACTTATGTTAAAGTCCAGTAGGAATGCCAGAACATCATAGTGGAGAGAAAAGAGAGCTCTCAGACACAGAGAGGCTCTGTGACCTGCCCCTGTCATGTCCGGGCTGTGGTGACTTCCGGTGTGAGTTCATGCCCACCTGACACAGCTGTAGAGGGGAAAGAGGAAACACCCCAACAGCCACCTGTGGAGTGTTCTGAAGGGACTGCCACCTAGCCAGCATTTCAGGCACCCAAGAAAGCTGACTCTTATTTTGCTATTGTTAATAGTCTAACTATAGTTTCAGAACCTTTTTTTTATCGTACAGCTGAGGATTCAGAGCACAAAAAGCATTCCATGTGGCCCCATGGAAACAGCCCCTATTTCTAGGCACAAGGCTGGTGACCGCTCATTTGCAACTATGTGCAATAAAACTTGGACAATAGGCTCGTGTAATCTCCAAAACTTTGGAGAGGGTCTCAGAGCAATTGATGCATGCCTCATTTTCTGCAGCAAATGAATGTCACCCATGGGGGTCTTTAAGGATCTCTGCACACCTTCCTTTGTTTCCACAAACAGCCATGTCCTATTTTAAACTTTTTATAAACTGACTTTTCCTAAGCATGGTCCCCTTTTCTTTAAAGTAAGAAAGGATTTTATTTCTTTTTCTTCATATAAAAGTAATATATAGTCTCAGTAGGAAAATCAGAAAATACAAGTGAGCAAAAAGAGAAATGATAAGAAACACCTGGAACATAGTGTTCCTTGGTCCTCACACTTGCTAAGAGACTTCCCTGCAAGAAGGAATGGCATTCTTCCTTGTCTACCGAGCCTGCTGCCTCTGGAATCCATATCAGGCTTTTAATTCATTCCAAGTGACTTAATGTGCTGACAAACACCAGGTTGGACACCCCATCCCTCAAGGCCTAGTTCCCACACAGACAGTGGGCCCTTCCTATCTGCCACGATCAGGTTGTTTTGTGAGCAGGCAATTCCTCCCAGTGCAGAACAAGTCAGAGTCCCTGGGGTCCTTGGAGTGGCATTCAACCCCTGCACAGACCTCAACTCCAAAGCTTCTAGGACAGTTCATATATCCTAGGACAAGTTTGTGCATTTGATCCCAACCCACCCTGTCCTAGGTGCATGGCCAAATTCCATGGTTTTTAGCTTCCTCCATCTCTCCTCTCATTCTCAAGATCCTTAGACCAGTAGGGGGCAGTAGGGGACCTGTGTTCTCATTTCTCCTTGTCAGTCACCCTTGAGTCACTTCTTCCTTGGCCTTTGCCTATGTTGTCTGGCCGATATGCCATAGGCTCTGGGAGAAGCAGGTCAGACAGTTGCATGGGAGGCAGACTCGAGGCACAGCCAGACAGGGACACACCAACCATTGTTCTGCCTATGGGGTTGCTTCTTGGGCCTCAAATTCCAGGTGTCTCTGCCATGCCTAAAGATCAGGGCAGCCCCCCTCACCCCAGGTCAATCACTCCCCAACTTTAACTCTAAAGAAAGCAAAAAAGTGAGAATGACTGAACTCCTATAATGAAATAAGAACCTTGTCTGAACAGCCAACAATGACAGTGCAGTGAACAGAAGGATCTGGTTACTGCTTCCCCAAGGCTCCTGTTAGGGATAGGTAGCACCTGTCTTAGGTGGCTTACCTGGAAGCAGAGCCTGAGAAAGTGTTCACATGCATGTGTTTCACTAAGAGAAACTTTTCAGGAAGAACCTTAGAAGTGAGGGGCTCCAGGTAGGAAGGAGGAAACCAGCAACAAGGTGATGTCAGGTAAGATGGACCTGTAACCTGACCCACCAGGAGCTCTGGAGCAGCAACAGCACCACACAGGGGTCCCCCCCACTTTGAAAAAAGGGTGCTGGCCTTATCATCCCCCTGTTAGCCAGGCATCAGCGACACATGCTGGACATGTGACACTCCAGGCTGGGAGCTCCCACTGCTTGAGGGTGCTTCTGAGAACCAATGAGCCAAAGCTCAAAGCAGCTGTGAGGAGGCACTGCCACCATCTTAGCCATGCTGGGCCTGAAGCTGTCCCATGTTTGACTCAATCCTTATTTCTCTCCTATTACAGAAGATCACCTCAGCCCTACAAAAACTTTTTTCTTGTAAGAGGGACTTTTCTGTTAACTTACAGAAACTCCATTGCAGGGTGGCTGTGGGTCTCATTTCCACCCAAAGTAGTACCCCATCTCTGATCCTCAGCCAATCAAAGAACTATTTCATTTGGCTGCCTAACCCTGGCCCCAGTAACAATGTGACCTTTCTGTCAGGGTTTCCACAAACTGACCTGTAAAAGTGATGTCCCTGTGTGAACTCCAATCCACAAGTGCACTTTGTGCAAATCGAGGCCAAAAAATGAATTTTCTTAGAATTCAGTTTTCTTAGGTTCATGTTTTCAACCCTTTTGAAAATAGAGACTGTTACACTTGACAGGTGCTGAGCAATACTTTAGGAAATCTAGCGGGGTTATTACTAGGGTAATCATCTCTGGTTGTTGGCTTGTGGACTTTCTTCTTGAGTTTTTCAAAGTGCCCTGGCCTGTAAGATAGGAAAGAGGCTGAAACTCATTTATAAAATGAAGAAAAGTAAATTAAAAATTCAGTTTCTCACTCAACTCATCATATTTCAAGTGTTCCACAGCCACCTATCAGGTGCCCATTGCCTTAGATGGCACAGATAGGGAACACGTCCACCATTGCAGAAAAGTGTATAGCCGGGCCTCCCTGGCGGCGCAAGGGGTTAAGTCTCAGCACTATGAAGCAATCTGCAGCCACAGCAGCACAGTTCGATCCTTGGCCAGGGAGCTACCCGCATGGCACTGCAGACCTGTCCTGCTTCGCCCACTGCTCCCCTCAGCAGTGTACTTCAGTAGATCGGCCTGTTCTTCTCCCCACTCTGTCTCTGGTGAATCCTCTCACCCCCCTGCACCTCTGGCCTACACCCCAGCTCTTGTATGCATAAATAAATAAATCTTTAAAAAAAAGAAGAAAGAAAGGTGTGTGGCCAGCACTGGTCTAATCGCTTGTAACTATATGATGTATATGAGTGTAACTTGAAAGGTAGAAAGTTATATCCCATTAGACAGGTGAAAAAAATGAGCTCAGACAGTCCCCTTCATGTTGAGTGACTGTAACTTGCTCAAACCCATGCAGCCGGGTGGGCACCCAGTTCTTCCTAATTGACCCCAAAGCCCCTGCTCTCGCTGTTGTCACTTGAAATGCCCTTCAACTCCCCTCCTATGGTGTGACCCTCCCTTACCATATCTCCTCATCACTGTGCCCTCAGGAAAATACCATCTACTGGCAAGCTGGTGCTGACCCTCACAACCAATGCCTGTGAGGGACAGGAAAACTTTGTCCGCTACCTGGAGCACGTCCAAGCCGTCATTACAGTCAACGCAAGCAGAAGAGGGGATCTGAACATCAACATGACTTCCCCGATGGGCACCAAGTCCATTTTGCTGAGCCGGCGTCCAAGGGATGACGACTCCAAGGTGGGCTTCGACAAGTGGCCTTTCATGACCACCCACACTTGGGGGGAAGATGCCCGAGGAACCTGGACCCTGGAGCTGGGGTTTGTCGGCACTGCACCCCAGAAGGGGGTGCTAAAAGAGTGGACACTGATGCTGCATGGCACTCAGAGCGCCCCCTACATTGACCAAGTCGTCAGGGATTACCAGTCCAAGCTGGCCATGTCCAAGAAGGAGGAGCTTGAGGAAGAACTGGACGAAGCTGTGGAGAGAAGCCTGAAGAGCATCCTGCGCAAGAACTAGCTGGCTCGTGGGCCTCCCGCCTCCCTCCCTCCCCCATCTCTGCCTCTCTTTCCTCGCTCCACATTTCTGTCAGGCACCTAGCAATTACTGTCATCCCCACACAAGCGATTCCAACTTTCTTGATCTGAAGCTTCGCTCACTGTCAATGATTATTTTCATTACAATGGAAGCAATCTTTTTTATTCTATGCCCCAAATACAGTGTTCCCACCAACACCGATGTCCTATTTGTCACTCTAAGTTCTTTGTTTGTGTCATTCAAATAGGTGATATCCTGCAAATAAAACCGGGACAGCTTTCCCCTCGATTTTTTCATGTCTGAGAAGAGAAGAGAATGAAAAGGCCACACACGGTGACTCCAAGAACGTTTATTCATGGTCTCCATGGAGGGGACCTGTTACCTAAAAAAGATAATCAGACATTTTGACAGAAGGTGAGCTCTGAATTTCTTAGAGTGCAGGAGCTGCTGTAAGTCCCTTGGGGAAAGATGCTTTGAACATAGCCTGATTTTTCAGTGACGTAGATTAAGGTGACATGATTTGATAGATGCCAGCCAGAGAGATCCCTGATCACTGGATGGGGAAGAGAGAGTCAAAAAGCATAAGCACTGAAAACCTTACCACCAACAGCATAGCTTGCCCCCCTCAGCCAGCGTGACAAACAGAAAGAAAGCCTAAGTAGCCTGGCTGTCTTCTCACCAGCTGGGGCCCTGAGTTTTCGTAAAATCTGCTTGAGAAGCCCAGATTACTCTCAGTTTGCATAGAGTTCATTCCAGCCCCAATTTTCCGGGGTTCCTGACATAGCTACCCAAAAGGAAAAATGGCAAGGTATGTTTGTCAACTTATCTGAAAAGCTCAGTGGTTTTTAAAACAGAAATGCTCCTTTTCCTCAGTCACCTTGAGGTTTTTTAATCTGATATAAGTGAGAGAACAGATGAGTATTTTTTTCACAGCTTTCCACACCTATACTTGAGCTCTGGTTCCAAAACATAAATTTGGAGGGATACCTATTACTCCCTCGTGTGGTGATTCCTGTGATAGGCCTCTGCTTTGGAAGAGGTGAGAGAAGGGTGAGGGGGCATGTCTGAGGATGTGAACAGCCATCTTCCCACGAACCTCCACTTGTGTGGAGCCCCTTCTGCCAAAAGGGAGAAATGCCACCTCATCCCCTCTGTAACTTGAGGCCTGAAGGAAGCAAGAGAAGACCTCTGTAAGGAGAGCACACAGTCACTATCCTGGCAACTAAGTTACCCTTGAGGACTTTAAACATGAAACCCCCAAAGGCCACACACTCTGCTTCCCGTTCAAGTCCAAGACACCACCCAGTTTCTTCGCCAAATAGAAATACTTCCTCCCCTGCCATCACTGTTTCCCCACCCATATGAACACCCACCATCCCCAAGAAAGATGTGTTTGATTTGATTCCCAAGAACCCATTGTCCACTTCTGGCTTCCTTCCTCTCTCTCGTGGGGGCAGTAGCTTAGGCTGAAGCTCCTTCCCTTGAAGTCAGCAGCACAAGGGTTCTGGGATCCACTCCCTGAAGGGAGCAACTTGTGAGAGAAGTCTGGAAACCCCATTTTTTTTCTCTTCCCCAGTCCCCATGTTAGCATGGATTTCTGTCTTCTTTAACACCATCTGACTTTCCCTATAATGCTTTAAAATGTGATAATATTTATGACTTTTAAAAGAAATTTATTACTTGTTGCAAAGGTCTTTTTAAACCAGTTTAGATTTAAAGAAAAAATAAATGGAAATCATCAAAAATACTCATTTCACATTAACAGTCTGAAAATAAACCAAAGGACATTATGTGTGCATATGTGTATAAATGCACACAGAAATATATATACATATGTGGGCTATATACATGTGTGTATATATATGTATAAATATATACGCTTGTATAAATGTATAAACACACATATACCTAAAATGTGTGTATGTGTATTACTGAAGAAACAGACACCATATTCATCTCTAAAAGAGTATTTAGAGAATATTAAGATGATTCTGGCTAAAGAGAAAGGCCGGTGAAAATTCAGGTGAAAATGTTCATCAACTCCCATTACATTACCTCTGTAATTTTGCAGCTCTATGTATAAACATTAAATGTCTTATATAGCATCAGAAATATAAAATAGTTGTCCATATTTTCACAGTTGTGATATAATTTATGAAATTAGAGAGTAACTTATCAGCTTCTTACTAGAAATGGCAAGTTTTGATATGAGTATACAGTATATAAAAATATATATAGTGCTATATAAAAATATTTGGTCTTGATTTCATTTTTTGCACCAGTATTAACACTAAAATATGTCTAGCTAGTGAGGTTTTTATGATATCCCTGATCCTAATGCAAGATATATTTATTGTTGTTTACTTAAAAATAAGTAAATAATGATTAATCAAGTTAACATTGTTATTCCCTCTGACAAAATTTTTTAAGTAAATTTAAAAAGACATGTTGTAAATTAGGAGACTCAACAATAAAACATTACCTTCCAGAAATTATGTGGGATGTGATATGTATTACATAAAAAAATTTCCATCCATTCTAGGAGCAGATAATAAAAAGTTGCCAAAGAAAAATCTAAAAAGGCTGCCTTTATAAATATGTGTGAAAGATTTATAATTAACAAATAAATCACACACAAATTAAGAACAAAAACACCATTTTTCAAACTCAAAATACATCCCATAAGTGGGTTGTAGAGTAACTGTAAAGAATCAAGACCAGCACTTTTTAACAGAACAGAATCGATTGGATTGGATAGAATAGAATAGAATAGAATAGAATAGAATAGAATAGAATAGAATAGAATAGAATAGAATAGAATAGAATAGAATAGAATAGAATAGGAGTAGATCATGCATATCAATAAGTATTTTTTCCTGAAATATTTGTTTCACAGGTGTGTTTATTTTATGTGTCTATCTCTCTCTGTCTGAGTATGTATTTTTTGAGTGAGTATATTGGCTCACAGTGCAAAATACATTTCTTATTGTGAGTCTTGGTAAAAAGTCTTTTAGAAACACTATTCTAAAATACATTAGTCAAGCTAAACTACATTATATTGTAGAAACAAACAGCCCCCAAATCTCTCAGAGCTTTAACACAACAAAGGTTTATTTACCATTCACACAAATTCTATTAGGGCCCAGGTGACTTTCCATGCAGTATCTCAGGGATTTAGGCTGCTTCAATCTTTAATCTTCTGGTTTGTAATTATAATACTACTACAATCACCCCACTCAAAAGGGAAATCATGGAGGACACTTTTCTACTCTTCTATGTTCAGCCTACTGAAGACATATATATCTCCTAACATACTTTGTATTGGCCAATACGGGTCAATGACCCCTGCTATAAATGCAAAGCAACTGGGAAATGCAGGGGACCCATGGAATAGGAGGTGAACATTGCATCTCTCTACCACAGAAACTTTGACATTCCCTTAAAACATCTTCCTAAGCACTGATTTACATGGGAACCTCTCCATGAATGGTAACTCGTGGTACATTATTACAAACTAACTGTATCCTATTTGACCACAACTTATTCTATCAAATCTTATTTGTTTTAATAAAATATTAATATACCTATCATAGCTCAGTTTTAAAGCCATTTTCAATTTTGCCCTCAGGTACAATATTTATCAATCCCAATTTGTAAAATCCGAAGAGAGTGTTTAACCAAAAACAGATACAAAAAGATGTAAGGTTTAGAGTAAAATTTTATGACAAACTTGGACACTACTTTTCAATACTTAAGTTCAAAGATTGATTTCCAAAAGATTAAATTAAAATATTGTCAATAAATAGTTACTATTATATATCATCATCATATCACCCATAAGTTAGTAATCATAAGTTAGTGGTGAATGTCTTTGTTGATTGGGTTTATCACATGAAAAACCACAGACTCGAAGAACTTTGGGAAACATGAGGGAGCATTTATATTTAGAGAGAGAAATGCTGAGTTAGGGGAATTGGTGCTTTCATAGCCAGAGTATGTTCTTAGATGCAAAGAGTCTATTTTGATAGAAATTCTTAAAAATCAAAATGCCAAGATTAGAGAGACAGGATTCCAAAACTCTGGGAGCTGGAAATAATCTCATCACAGAGTAATCTGTGTCAATGAAGATGACTTGGTTGCAGACAAATGACTCTAAAGGAGCAAGTCAACAGAAAGGGTGGAGGGAGGTACTCAGCACATGGAAAATTAAAAAACAGTCGGGACACGAAGTTGGCAGACAGTGCCTATAGTGCTTGGTGTAAGGAAGCACAGATGCTGATGTAGAGGGAAAAACAATCCCTGAAGAGCAGAAGCTTTTTGAGTACAACAATCACAGCACTGGGGAGACCATCACCAGACAGAGTGCCTTACAGCAACTTCCACCTGCCAATGGGTTATTCTATGTCCACCCACAGCCTCCCAATTCCTCATTCAGCTTCCCAAGGACATTAACAGCAGCAGAGGGAGTTACCAGCCTGCAGGCTACAAGCACCTGGTCCTCTAGAGATGAAGAACCCTGTCTGCATTGCAAATTAATCAACTAGTACTTAGGTTCTACCACCAGTCTCTTGTGCATTTAGATTCAAAGAGTCCCTGTCCTTGGGTTCAAAAAAGTCTAGCTAAATTTGGTTTGGGATTTATAAGAGACCAGGAATCAAAATCTGACCCATAACAAATTCTCCATTTTAGCACATCAGCTTCATTTTTTCTCTTATAACTTGGGGTAGTCTCACGGTTTATGAACCTGGGGATAAAAGCTGCCCATGAGAAATTTACTTTACCCAAAGACATGAAAACTCTGTGTTGCCAATTCCTAATGTTTACTCCTCCTTGTGTTGAACATTTGGATGAGATAGGGGTGGTTAGAAATCTAGATTCAGGGCCTCCCTGGTGGTGCAGCGGTTGAGCGCTGGGTTGTGAGGCTGCCCGCGGCCTCTGCGGCGCCGGTTCGATTCCCGGCTGCTCCCCGGCCACCGGAGGAGGGTCCCACATGGCGCGCAGACCTCTCCTGCCACCCGCTGCTCCCTTCAGCAGTGTACTTTGGTCCCTCTGCCTGCTCTGCTCCCCGCTCTGGTGAATTCTCTCACCCTCCTGCCCTTCTGACTGTACCCAGTGCTTGTATAAATAAATAAATGAATAAATCTTTTTAAAAAAAAAAGAAATCTAGATTCAGGGCCTCCCTTGTGGTGCAGGCGGTTGAGCATAGCGCTGTGAAGTTGTCCGCAGTCTCTGCAGTGCCGGTTCGATCCCTGCCATCCTTGGACCA